CCTACAGTTCAAGAGATGCAGGTACTCTGAAGTACAGTTTATTTCTCTTTTAAGGCAGAAAAATAATTGGATTTTGTTGTGACTAGAACACAGCACCATATTATAACAGTAGCAGGACAGATATTTTACTTCTAAAATGAGTAATGTGAGGGCACTCAGATGAAATACCTTACTTATTTTGGTTTGTCTGTTATAATGCTAATGTGACATTAAAAACACAGCCCATAAATCCCTGGGATTCCAGAGAGGGTAAGTAATAAACCCCAAACCTCTCTATGAATAAGCTTTAAGTTCAATAGAAGTTCCTCAGTGGAAAAGTTACAGCTCTCCAAGATGAAAAAGGCTGAAGGGGTACTAACATATAACAGAAGCTTCTAATTACTGACACAAGGAGGGAGGGGAGAGGAAGAAAAAAGAATTACCAAGAATTAGTATTTCTGTAAGTTACACTGACTTAAAGAAACCAAGAATCCCTTTTATTGAAAGTTATCTCCTACACACAGAATACTGAAAGACACTAATTTAATCAGGAGTGGAACCATGTATTTCCAAGCTATAGATCTCCTTCTTCCCCCCAAAAAGAACTCTTATCTTGTCTCACTAAGTGTTTCTTAGTAATTCCTAAACCTGCAAGTTGACAGCTTTACTGCTCTTATCATTACAACCACTGAATCTCCACCCTCCAACATCTGAAATGATACTGCATTGTGTCATTTTCCTTCTTCCTAAACAGATACACTCCTGTAAGGATAAAACATTCTGAATTCAAACGTCCACTTGTGCATCCACAAACACAAGATTGTTCTCCTCACTACTGTAACCTCCACCATACAAAATTCACAGTACACTCAGGACCTCCACCTTAGACGAGCCAACAACACTCTGAGGAAAAAACTTTTTCTCTCCAACTCTACATAAATCAGTGAGAGACAACGTTCATGGTAAAACACTTCATGCACTGAACGCTCAAGTCTCCATCTCAAAAAGCCCATGAGTCTATGTCCCAAAGGACAGACACAGAGAAGCAAAAGTTGCAGTAAAAGAATCTGGCCTTCAGCTTAAATACTTTGTCTTTTATTGATGCAAGTAATTGGATTTTCGTTCACACAAATTCCTACAGAAGAATAAGAGTGACACTGACAACTAACTTCACGTTGAGTCTGCTTGATAACGTTAATGTTCCCTCCACCCCAAATTATCCCAAAGCCCAGATTTTGACCCCTCTGTTCTTCTATACATTCACCAGTGTCTCAGCTCAGTGTTGTTCTTCAGACTTCAAGCAGTTTAAAGCTCTGCCATTTATTCGGACACAGACACTACCAAATGACCTTTTTTCTAGGAGATTAGAACAGACCTTTGCATCTTAGAAAGAGTGGCCATGGAAGCAACTAATCTTTAACTCAGCTTTCCAGCACTCGGCTCAGAAGAAGCTCTAACCAGGATGAATTCAAAACAGCTGCTAAATATTTTGCAAGAATGGGGACAGTATCTTCAAATTGTTGTTTAGAGCATTAAAAAACAGGTTTACCTTACTGAACTTTACACAACTCTACAAATCAACCTCACTTCCCTCTGTTGCAAACAGATAGGAAGGGGCACTTCACCAGCACACATCCACTGCAGTCAGTAGTAAAGCTCTAGAAAGCAACTAATGCTATCATGACATGAGGACCTGAAATTAAAACACCAAACCATCCTCCCGAGTCACCTGCCCCCTCTTCCCTGGCAGGAGAGAGGAAATCAGATGACTTGTGTGCGCCGTAAATCTAACTTCCACAGAATTTAAACTGATGTTAACTCCAGCCTCTGTGTTATGCAGACACTTGTTCAAGTCTCTCTTACTTTTTCTCAGTGCAAACTCTTCATCTGACGGCTTCCGTTCTGGCTTGCGTTTGGGAAGCAGCTTTTTCATGGTTTTAGGGCTTTTACTGAGATCCTGTGCGGAGAAAATAAACACAAAAAGAGTAGAGCTTCTCTACAATACTTCAAAATTTAACTTCTGCAATGCATACAGAAGTTACAATGAAAAAATCTTACAACAGCACCAAAACTCAGTTTACTAAATATTTTTTCACAAATTTGCCCAAACTGGCTCATTTCGTCTCTACCCTTCCTCCAGCTACATACAAAGTCAGATACTGTATTTGTTCGATTAAGAGAAATACACTGAAAAGCTGCTGCAAAAGCATGCAAGCTGTTTGGGAGCTAGAGCGAAGGGAAGAGGCAGGCATACATTAATGCAAGTTTTTTCTCCTTAGCTGTTGAAGAGACAACCCACTGCACTTGTCTACTTAGAAACAGGTAAAAAAGAACCTAAATAGGAAGCTTGGCAGCTAGTACACTCTTTAAAGCCAGAGTTTTTACATATTCTGGTCTGTTTTTACAAAGCTCTGCAGCAGGGGGCAGAAAAAAGAAAAGAAAAGCAACAAATATAGCATTTCTGCTCAAAACGTGGTCAGGCTAATTTACAGGAGCAATACTATGTTACAGGAAGAAAAGTTGTATATACTGGTCTATCCCTTACCTTAAGGATACAAGACATCCTCTATAAAAATACAGAACAAGAAAGTAAAAAGGTAAATGAGCAGGACAGACCAAAGATGATAAAGATGTTTTGAACACTGTTGTATGCCAAACACTGTAAAGATGACTGAAATTTTACCTCACTGGAGAACTTAGGGCCCTACACATGAAAACATGAAAGGAATTTAACTTAAATTACAAAACAAGCACACAGAAGAACCTCCTGTAGCAACTAAGCCTAAATACAAACCTCCAATTACAGATCACCTATCAACTTTTCCCTTTAGGGGATTTACAAAAGAAAAGTCACACATATACAGCCACCACAAAAAAACACATCCAGGCCACACCAGGACACAGTGTTTAGGCCACAGTTTCTAAGAAACTGCAATTTAAATCTGCAAAATACAATTTTTCTGTCAACATCTCATGTTTGCAGAATAAAATGTTCTTAGGCATAACTGAATGACTCTTTCTGGGACCTAATGCTTCCCACTAAATTAGTATAAGGAGAAGACATTTAAAAAACACTAAACAGGAGATATCACCAAGCCAGAGAGCATCCAGTATTCTCTTCCTTACATACACAGACTTCCAACACAAACATAACATTTTCTTAGTATTTACAAACCACTCAAAATGTAGCAGCACGACCACATTAACCTACCACTACTATCTTTTTGCAGCTAAAATCACCACCTTTTATTTGTCTTGGAACAGATTCCTGTTTCATGCCACATGCTAATTAAAAACAAAAACACAGCAGCATCTTAAAGTCTAAGGGTTTGGGTTTTTTTTTGTTAATAGAACCCTTAGCCATCAGATTCTTTTGAGTACAAAAACATTACATGTATTTTGACAGTTACCATTCTTTTTTTTAAAAAATGTATGCTATTGTTACCTAGTAACAGTGATAAGTACCAAGGAACCAAGAGTCAATTATACTACCACAGCTATTCGGAATTATTCGATACAGCACTCTGAAGCACCATAAGATCCCTTATCCTACATACTTTGCAGTCTGCTTAGCAAATAACTTACTTTGCAACAAACCCGGATGATCAACATAGCAAACGAATTGCTAGTTTTAAAATAAAACCCCTAAAACCTCCTTTACTATCTGGATAAAGAGTAGAGATAAATGGAAGCACTTGGGGGAGGCAGAGGGTAGCCACTCCTAACAAGCCTTAGTATTTTCTGAGCTGCAAGACTAAATCCCTGTTTGCCATAAACAGCACCCATTAGTCCATTATCACTGACTGTTAGCTCTTAAATCATCTTTATTTAACAACATGCACAAAATGGGAAAATGGTGGTGTGTGGGGAAAAAAAAATAAAATCAAACTTCCTGTTGTATGCCTGCTACAGAGTCATAATTCTCGGCTGCTGCATCTCACCTCTTTATAACAAAGAGCTGCTGAAGGCCGTAACGGCGGAGCGGGCCGCAAGCAGCTCAGACTCCAAGGCTTGGGGGTTTTTGGAGGTTCCAAAGGTCCCCAGTTGATTGTGGTATGTGGAGTCCCATGATGTGATGGATGAGGGAGAGTGTGGTACGCAGGAGTCAGCGGTATCGGCTTGCTGTCTGAATGCTTGCTGGAGGGTGTTACTGGATGGGACGGAAGCTGTCACGGACACAAAGGTGATGGGAAGGGGAAGGAAGCATATTATCATAATAAAACCGTAATATCAGCAAGGATTAGTACAAGTCTCATTCGCTATCTAGCACTTCTGTTCATTATAGCAAGCCTTTGAAAAAATTTACACTAAATTTTTATTTGGAAAAATTAAGCTTAAAGGAATTTTTACTGTCTACCACAGACAGAGCACGCACTAAAAAAATGAAAAGCTGTGAGCAAACTTGGTCCCATGCCTCTCATCACTAAGGATGGAGCTACATTTAGATCCATTCATATCCAACAACTCAAATGAAGAGAACCCAGAAGAAAGTATCTTAAGGAAATTGTTTCTCCGCAGCCTGTCAAGTACATCACTAATTAGAACTTACTGCTTTAAGAATACTTAAAATATGGTGATATATTAATTGGTCAAAATAGAAAAAGTAATGATAATGATTCTTTTTTTTACCATGTTAAACTATTAAGTCAAAATCTAAGCATTTTATTCTTTGTTTACACAATCAACATCTGAATGATCTTTTGACCCATTAAGCTACAGTTTTAAAGTTCCACTCGTGTTACTAACGGCTAAAAGAACCGCTTCACATGATAGTGTATTTGTCAGGTAACTTAATTCTGCATACGCTGCTCATTCACTTCAATCCAGCAGTGCTCTCTTACCGTGTGAGATGGCACAGAGTGAGGTTTGATGGTGGGATTCCCGACAGTTGTGACTTTGGTTTGCTTCTGCAGGTGATCGACCCACTCATGCAAATCTTGTTGGTTGTTACAAGACACCAGTATCCTTTCAATCATATTTCCTGACAGAAAACAAGTAGGAAACCACAGAATAACAACTCAGATTAGAAAGACACTAGTTTCCAAAAACATTATATACCCTAAGGACTAAGCAAAAATTTTTATCTCTATTTTCAGTACAACAGCATCTCAATTTTACCACGTTGTAACAGACACTTCCTTGATGTATTTATTCTTGTGCCAAGCACAGAGTTCTACATTTTTCCTCGCCTCCAATAATGAAATACAACCCTTAATGACAAGAAACAGATGTAGGAGACAGGCTCATCTAGTGGCCTTGGGGTCCTCCATCTTGCCCCAGCAAGCCTGAAGTGTCATTCCTGAGTCTGCAAGCTACAATACAGGAAAAGTTATACAACTACAGATAACCGACCTTCTCTCAGAAAAAGGCATAAAGTTGGCCTGAATCTAGTAGTAAAACTGAGGCAAGTGTCACTTGGGGAAGCAATCTCAGGAGAAGATAAATTTCTGCAGTTAATTCCATTTTAACCCTTCACACTCCTCATCTGAGGTCACCTTCATAGCTATTATCTCAGAAGAAGATGCACTATCATCAGCTTTTTCCCTCTGCCTCACAGCATTGCTGTGGGATGCTGCCTGCTACTCAAGAGGGTCAAAATTACTTCACTTAAACGCAATCTGTCTGGAGGGAGAACTGAGCCAGGAAAAGAACGAAGGTATGAAGCTACCCTGTATGGATGCTGATCCTACTGTCCTTTAAATGACTCAAGGATATAAAGTTT